TGAGTAAAATACAAGTTCCTTAGATTGATGACTATTGAAAAATACCAATTAACAGTAGGTGGGTTACCAAAATCAATAATAAGCTTAGACAACACAAACAAACGGTGATGAGGGCAGACAAAGAAAGAGCATATATATGAAATATTTTAATCATATTTTGTTTAGGGCGATAAGAGAACGGGCATTTGAATTTTTCCACAATGATATGAATCAAAATGACGTTTCTATTGAATTTCACATAGCCTTGCCTTCACGAAAGGAGTTCCCATCCAGGCTGGGCTGCAGTATCGACCTCACCTAGTTCTTATCAACACCCCCAGCTTAATTCTAACCATGACACGTTAATCACTACGCGACAATGCCATGAGTGCACTTAGGCCACAGGGCAGATGTGACTTTCAAGAAAGGCCAACAGTCATGACGTTTTGAGGTCTCGAATGCCTAGTTATATACGGAAAAAAAGAGATGCAGTTGTAGTTTTGGCTGGGACAGATTGTATAGGAAAGATGCTGATAGTTTTTAGTAATTAGAACTGTTTGCAACTTTCGTCTTGGGACAAATTTAAATAATCGTCTTTATCTTGACTAACCGTTTCATTATGATCACATAATCCCGGATTTCCTTTAATTAATTTTACGAGTTTCCCCTGGGTATAACGTATGTGAACTTTATTAGATAAACAGCCTTTTTGTAGGCAGCTTAACACATTATAAAGTCTTTCAGTTAGTTTTTATTTTCTTAATCTGTTGGCTTCAGTGGCTTTGAGATGCAAGGCTAAGTGAAATTCAAAGACATATTGAGGCTTATTGATTTTATTGTGAGAAAATCAGATGTCAGTCTTCACATCCCACTGAACTACCTAATGCGCCTCGTGTTCTTATGGTAATTTACAAATAATTATTATTTTCATTCTCTACTTTATTATGATCGGCTTTGTCATTCCCTTCGCTCTGTTAAGTTATCTTGCCTTCGTGAGAATATTACTAGTCGGAACAGGCCAGCTTCTTTATGTCAGCTGATATTCTTTCTGGCCACTTTTATTTTTTAAAATCCGATTTGACTTAAACATGGTTGAATTTTGGCATGCAATTAAATTCAACTTTAAGCCGCATTTTTTCGCTATTCAGGCCAAACCAGTCAGCCCATATCAGCTTTAATATGCACCCTTTTTCCAATTCATATTTTAATAAATCTTGCCTCCTATCACTGAGACAAATGAATAGTGACTGACCTTATTTCTTCCTACTTACAAATTATTCGAAGACAAAAAAGCTCTTAGCCAAAGTATTAATTAAAATTTAACGGATTGTGAGTTTATCACCTACTCTTTCCTAGCCCTCTTGTTTCTTTATATTTCCAATGCAACATTGGGCTTGAATATCTTCCCGATATTCTCTACCTCATTTTGGTTGTCTTAAAAATAAATCGTTATATCATCTTATTGCATTTAAGGAATACATTTCTCTAGAATTTCTACGTGTTAAGGACTTTTGTGGATGAACTAGAGCTGGGGGTTGTGACAATCTTTGGTGCAACTAAATAACCCAAGTGATAATACAGCCATAGTTTATACGTAATTAGCCTGCTTCAAAAATATCGGTATATGGTGCCTATAGACTCCGATCGCTTTAGTCTTTTTTCTTGTTTTTATATTAAAATCATGTCTACTAATCGCCTCTTGCTGTATTTATATGCATTGATTGACCGATATTTCTGTTTCTATATTCAATAAATGTTTTATCAACCGTTCCTATCTTAAATTATATTCTTGTTGCACGATATGTTTAAGGATTGTAATTTTTTCTTTTCCGTCAAGTCACCTACCTAGATTTGTCCCTATGCTCTGCACTCCGGCACCATCAGCATTTATTAGTAAAAATTTTTTTAGCCTTCCTTCCTATATAAAAACTCGAATTTCCTTTATCAAGTTTAAGGCTGCGCACAATGAATTTATTAATCTTAAATAAGTTGCTATTCCTAACCACTTATTTACGGTTAGTTTTCGTATATACACTCAGCATTGTGCTAAGGTTGTAATACTAGCTTCTATATTATTGTAATTTAACAATTAAATGGATATCCTTTACACTAGTAAATGAGTAGTCCAGGTTTATTCACAGTCTTCGGGTAATATTTGGCCTTCCTTCTCTAGGCCAAAGTTCCTGCTGATATAAGCCGGGATTTTGCGGAAACTTTACGAATCACTGCATATATAACCTCACACATATAATGTTATTTTAGCCCAGTAAACAAAGAAGAATTAAAACGGCGGATTCAACTAGCATAGAGATAAAATAATTTGTTCTTTGAAATTTACTTTCTTTAAAACTCCTACCATAACATTTTTCTTACTATATAGAGGAATATATGGTTGATTGGATCTGCGATGAAATCGCGCAAATCACATTCGTTGTCAGCAACCCACTTCCTGTTCCCCTTCGTATTTCTGATATTGTAAGTATTTATTTTCGATAAACAACTTTTTATTTATACTTTCCTTCAATTCCCGAGTGCCTATTGTAAGCATTCAGGATTCGCATTGTATCTCTGTATCCTTGTTCTCTAAACAGGACTTCAGTATCCTAGTAGGCACATTTTAAGCTTGAGCTTTTCTCAATATGCCTTGCTTGTTTAAACCTTAATTTGCTATGAGTCTAGCTATATTAGCTTGATGCATCTTGTGCAAAATGTAGAGCATTTTGTTTGAACTTCATAGATAATTTTCCAACGCTGTTTGCCAGGCATATAGCTCAAATTGTTCATCGCTACTATTTCCTAAAATAAAATGGGCTATTAAGAAAATAATTTCG